GTAGAATATATTATAAAATACTATGTGAAGTTGACATGTGAAGAATATAAGGTCAATAAAACGATTGACTATATAAATAAATATAGAATAGACAGATTCTTAGAACCAAAGAGTGGAATGGTGGATCCAGGGACTGGGGAGAGGGGTTTGGGGAGTTATTAATTAATGAGAATAAAGTTTTAGCCAAGTCAGATAAATAAACTCTAGTGATCTACTGTACAACTTTGTACTTATTTTCAACAGTAATGTACTGTACACTTAAAATTTAATTAAGAGGGTAGATTTCATGTTAAGTGTTTTTACTACAATAAAATAAAATAAGATAATCTGTGGTTTATTGGACCCAAACTAAAGGTCTCAAATTCACTGGGTAGATGTAAGTGGTAGACATCATCTTCTTCAAACTGCAAAGAATTGGGTGACATTTTTTTTTTATCTGTGCTTAAGACTCTGACATCTTGGGTGGTCTTCATTGAATTTAACACATTGAGGAGTAAATAGTTTCTATTGCAGCTGGCATGCTGTTTGGCTTCAGGGCATGTCTTGAGCTGTCTGAATACACTACACTATATCTAATCACACTGGATTTCTCTCTTATACCCCCCACCCCCATTCTCAGATTCCACCTTTTACAGCCTCTTCAAAGATGAGCTGGAAAGAATGCTTTCAAGCTGCTCTTACTTTATTTGCTCTGTGCATAGGATTTCAAAAAGCAAAATATTGATCAGGCCACTAGCCTGCATTGTCTCAGAAAATATTTCATTCTCCAAAACAAGTTATTATCTTCAGTTGCTACTGAAAATGCATCAGTTTCATTATATCAATTTATAATTGAAAAATGGCACAAGATTAATTATGGAAATGCTTTTCAATTTCAATAGTCAATTAACAGGCAGCTGTATGAAGACTGCAATAATTACACTGTTCTGCAAGCACTGCACTACATGTCTTATTTTAGTATATTTAGAATTTTAAAAGAGAATCTGATTAGCATTTATTTTTTTAATGAATCTGGCATTCAGGGGATGCATGAATTTACTTTAGATACCGGATTATCAATTAATGCTTATCAATTTAACATTGATTTTCTTTATAATCTAGTACCATCATCACAGAGAATTTTTCTACATAAATTCCTGCTACAGTTGTCATTAGGTGTAAGAGTTCAGAAGGAACATATACTCCCACAGATCCTAGTTAAAAAAAAAAAAATGTTCTTTCCTGAAATCTACCTGTAGTTTTGTACAAGTCTTGAAGATTCATCCTATACCTTTAACTGAAAACAATGTTTTTCTCTGTAATGTCTCCAAAGAGGAAAGCAAGAACAAGCACAGTCTCCTGAATTATTCAATTTAAGTAGGCTATGATTTATTTTCATATTATAATTATAGGCTGTCAGAGGCACAGATCCTAAGTGTACAGTTAGATAAGTAGTGACAGAGTATAAACAACACGGAAACCATATCACCCTAGAAAGTCCTGGGACTTTACACCAGTGCCTCTTGATATGAGTTTTTTCTGTAGACACTCCTAATGTCACCCCTGTTGTCTGGGAGGGTGTGGTTACCCTCATTTCCTCCTTCATCTTTGAAAGAATGGGAAAGGCGGAGGCCATTGGTGATTCATGTGCTCATTGATAGCTCTCCTTCCCCTTCACCTATTTGCTAGAACATTGGCTTTGGAATCTAAGAAACCAGGTTTAACTCCTGGTTCTACACTTTTTAGAGTTATTTAACATCCCTGAGTCCGGGTGTCCTTATCTGTGAGGTTAGGATGCTAAAACCTACCTCACAGGGTTATTAGGAAGATTAACTAAACTGCCTTTATGCACCTGCCATTCAGAACATGCTCAGCTGGTCCTCCACTCTCCCTCTCCTGTTGACATTGGGTCTTGGACATTGGTTCTTTTCCTCTCCCCCAGTTCAAACAACTAACTAAAAGGGTGCATTCCAAGGGCTGGGGATATAGCTCCGTGGTAGAGTGCTTCCCTAGCATAGGCAAGGCCCTGGTTCCATCCCTGGCACTAAAAAAAGAAAAAAAAAGTTGGGGGTAGCATATATTTCAATCTTTGAGGACGCTGCATTTGAAAAAAAAAAAGTTACTTTTTCTAATTAGGAAAACTAATCCTCACTAATGCATTAGTAAACTTGAGTTATTTCCCTTTCCAGGTCCTTTTATTTGTATTTTAATTTAAGCCTTAAGGGAATGTGTTTTTTTTTTCAATCCAAATAAGTCAGAAGATTGGGGAATAATATAATATTTGGGGCCAGGAGGCTCTAGTTCTCTTTAAATTCCAGACAGCCATCCATCTGCCTGAGTGCATAGCTGCCTATGTGACATAGGCAGGCTTTCTCAGGAAAAGATTCTAGGCACAGGTTGCAGACACATTTTGGACAAGTTGCTTTAAATAAACTCATGCAGGTATTGAACTCAGAGCCTAGCATCTAAGTGTGATCATAAGGAAGCTGCTCTCCCACACATTGGAATGATGATTGGCAATGGCCGATTAGCAAATTAGAAGTAGAGATCTGAAGATCAATACTGAGAAGTGGTCTCTTCCTTTGTGCTGCAATCTGTAGTTCTACCGTGTGGTTTCTACTGGAAGCACCAAGAGCTTATCAGGGAAAGCAGCTGATTAATTTCCCATTTGAAACATACTTAAATTCAGAGCCTCAGGTGAGAGTCATCATTACAGCCCAGTTGAGTTGCTGGACCACAGTGCTACCTTAATGACCTCCCTATGTGTCTATTACTAGGCAAGGTTCTGCCTACCTATGAAGGTGTTATTGGCAATTGAACCCAGGGATGCTCTATCACTGAGCTATATATTTTTTTTCAAATATTGAGATAGGGTCAAGCTAAGTTGTCCTGGCTGGTCTTGAACTTGCAAACTTCCTACTAACAGGCCACGGTGAGCCACGGTGCCTGGTTCCCTTGTGATAGATTTTAAAGACTTTGTTGTTGTCCAGTCCTGATTTTGTATCATCTGCTTTTCCCAGGCAAACTGACTACCACTGACTTTTGCTTTCCTTATAGTTTTCTAAACAAAATAAAATAAAATGTGTCTTGACCACGTAAGGTACTCTGTGATTGAAGCAAAATAGATTCTTTCTTTTTTCTCCCTATGTGACTTTATACATTCTGAATTAAATTGAAGAACTCGGGGAATTCATATATAACCAGAATCCAAAGCTGCTGCAAGCACTGATCCCAAAGTAGACCATGCACCACGATCATTGCTCAGCTCAAGACTGATGATGATGTGCAAAACTGAGAACCCTTTTAGTGCTATGCAAATTACGCCTCAATTATGTTTTCCCAGTACATTTAGACACAACCCTTTGCTAGCCTTCTTTTTTTTTCACATGATATTTGAAATTCATAATCAACAGGACATGTATTGGGGAGCCTTATTTTGTGATCGTGAGCACAAATATAAGAAGCAAAAACAAAATTTGATACTCAATACTAGTAAATACATAGGTCCAAATTATTTACTTTACACCATCTAAACAGCAGCAAGTCATTAATGGGATATATGGGTGGAAACTTCACTGTACAGAAAATAGTTAATTTCATAGACCAATGAATTAGGGACCAAGGAGATGGTACTCGTTGAATTTTCTTTTTTCTTTGTTCTTTATTCCGTTTTCCAAGGCCTTGTTCCGTTGGGGTTTTTTTCCCTTTTTTGTAACACTACTGTCATTTAGCATCCATTGTCAATGTCAACTGGTATTAGCCAGTTAAGTAGCTAGATTAGGAGTGCCTAGCTACCGTAAAATACATCAAAGCCTATTTTTCTTTCTTGATGTGCCTGAAGCCTTCATTTTGCTGGTTTCAAGGAGAGGAAGGATGATCAGTGAATTTGATGACGACATAAGAAATTTTAGGGATCAATGACTCATCAATTTTGCAGTTTTTCTTTCATCACTTTGGAGAAATTAAGTGAACACAATCTTTGATGCATCTTACTAAAATACAAGCTTAGGGATTTGTTAGGGTTTGGAGATGGGGTGTCCTCCAAAACTCCTGTTAATGTAGGAATGTTCAGAGGTGAAATGATTACAGTGTGAGAGGTGTTACCTGATTCGTCCATCCTAATTTGAACGGACTTACTGGGTAGTAACTACAGGCAGGTGGGGCAGGGCCGGAGGAGGTGGGTCACTAGGGGTATGCCTCTTGCATCTTCCCTGTGGCTCCTTCCCCCTCACTCTCTCTCTCTGTCTCCGGGGCCACAAGCAGAGAAGCTTTCCTTCACTGGACCCATCCCCCAGGGTGCTGCCTCACCTTGGAACCAGGGCAATGGCGTCGACCATTTGTGGACTGACACGTCTGAAACCATGCACCCCAAATAAATGTTCTCTGCTCTAAGTTGTTCTTGTCAGGTACTTTGGTCTCAGGGATGTAAAAAGCTGACTAAATCAGGACTTCAGCAGTACCCCTCCTTTCCTTTTAAGATAAAAAGAAAAAAGAAAAAAAAAAGTAGTGACCATAAAATTCTTGAAGCTTCTATTTGAAATAAGCCATTTGATGTGTCAGTGATAACCAGTTCTGCAGAACTATTCTATTTTCAAGTTCAGTACTCTCAGCTAATTTTTCAGCCACCTCTGAGTCTTTGGGGATTCTAAATGGCCTGTGGAATAATTCTGACTATTCAAATAGTTAAACTATCCAGCATAGGCAAGCAAGAGGTCCTGTGTGGACTCAGTACCCCAAACCTCTGCAGGCCCTATCATGAAAGATAAATGAGAAATGTTTTCTCTTATCTTTTCTTGCTTTCCACAGAGTGAACTTTAAATCAAAATTTTAGCTTTATGTCACTTGAGAGAATAGTGAGAAGGGCTTTCAGGTGGAAGGAAAGCAATGATTGAAGATTGTGAAGGGTCTGAGAACAGACATGCAGTAAATGTGTTGTTGTTGTTAATGGTGTTGGTGATTTAGAATAGACAGCATTAGCTAGAAACAACCCCCCAAAAAAATCAGTAATTTGCTCTCTATATTCAGGGGAAAGATGGAGTATACATCACTTGTGGTACATATTTAATAAAGAACAGTTTTCCTTCATCTTAAATGAATTTGGTGGCCTTCTATTTGCCACTGCAAAACATCAAGAAGAGAGTATAACTGAAGCCCAATGCACTTAAACAACAATGAATCAAATTTCATCACTACATGCAAAAGAATGTACCAGACTAATAAAGAACGCAGGCTACGTTTAGCAAAAGAAATTATGTCTTTAACTGGGATTAGAGGCCACAGTGTCTCTTTGGGAGACCAATAGGTCTCTGTGGACAGTACAGGTCAAGGTCTCATAATTTTGAGACATTAAGTAAATATGCAGTGAGCTTCCCAGAGACTCATAGAGTGTTTCAAAGTCAAAGTGTCATGAGATGATTGAATTTTAGGTACCGAACTTCCCTACATTCACTAGATCCAGAATGGGATTCCTCTCAACTTCCTGCATCTACCCTGGTTGAAGTCAAATGGGAGATGAATTATGCTCTGGAGTAAGGCTTCTTCATTGTCCTCTAGATGTTTATACATCAGAAGGATCTTTTGCTGGTATTTATTTTGCTTGTTAAAGTGTTTTCATTAAAATTTGTACAAATTAGCACTTATGATTATCTGAACTTCTAGTGTATACCTATCCTCATGGGTATGTTTATATAGGTGTGTGCTCTTAAACTTATAGTATACTTCTATACCAATACTTTTCTTCTTGTAGATTCATATGTAGAGCAAGTTGGTCCCTTGTATCCTGATTCTGAATCCACAGGTTCAACCAACTGCAAATGGAAAAGATTTGAAATGAAAATAGTGTCTGTACCAAACACGTATAGACCATTTTCCTTGTCATTATTCTCTGAACAATACAGCAGAACAACTATTTGCATAGCATTTATTCTACATTAGGTATTATAAATAATCTAAAAATGATTTCAAGTATAAAGGAAGACGTGGGTAGGTTATATGCAAATACTACACCATTTTATATACAGGACTTGAGTGTCCATAAACTTTAGTAGATGGGGAGGCCCTAGAACCAATATCCTGTGCACATGAAAGGACAATTGTATTTTATTTCAGAGACTTTAACATACATTTTTTAAACCATGTAAGTAAAATTCTTTAGAAGTTCTTGTTAAATTGGATGTAGTCAGATACATGGTCAGCGGTCTCCATGAACCAGGGTAACGGGTGAACTAAGAATTGGATTGTGCACAGTACACAGAGTGTGTAACTGTGCAGAAGTGCCCAGCAGGGAAGGTGCACCCGGAAAACCCACCAGCCCTGAACTGGCCATGCATGTACCAGATTTGCATGCTCTGGAGGAAGGGGCATCTTTTTGCCATTTGCCTACCCAAGAGGCATAATTCAGTAAATGCAGGCACGTAGTACATGTAAGTGGAAAGCTGGCTGAGAACCCCCATTGTCAAATAAAAGAAGGTACTCAATTCAGGATGAAATGTAAGAAAAGTCAAAATTACCTAGATTTGACCTGAGTATATGAAATTAACTGGATCATGCCTTATTCATCAATAAAGTCTTCAAGTCACTCCTCAGGGCCAGGCATCTGGTGAGACAACTGGTAGAGCTCTTGGTCCCGTAGTAACTTCAGACAGCAGAAGGTGGGAAGGCAGTCACATGAGCAAAAGAAGTGATGTCATGCAATTAGTGCCCAAAGTTTACCTGAGATTCTAAAGAACCTGGAGAATTTAAGATCAACAGCTTTGTCAGAACTGGGTGGAGAAAAGGTCGTCTCCATTGAAGCCCTGTTTCTCTCAGAGTATTCAAACCAAGAGTTATGTGAATGTCTGATCACCATCCACCTACTTCCAGTGAGCCTTTGTACTTTCTGGCCCTTTATTCCTTTCTCTATGGATATTTTCTCCTTACCCTCAGAAACAGAAGTCCCATGTAATGGACCTCCATAGCCTAATCAAGCCCCATCAAAATCGAGCTATTGGTGCCATCAAAGGAACAGACAAGCTCATTGGTTGGACAAATGGATGCATCCTGCTGTCGTACGGGTGAGGTTCTTTCTATCCTTTGCTTCTGGGCAACATGTCAATGGGGCCCTCAAATCCCTGACCTGAGACTGACTAAGGTAGGGGTCACAGGCTGGCAGGAAGGTATTTGGGAGCAGTTGTTTCTCTTGGATCACCTTAAATCATAGCACATATGCAGATGCTTCATCAATCAAATGAAGTTATAAAGTTTATTCCAAGCCAGAAAAAAAGTTCCAATTTAAAACCACAGAGCTCATACATTCATTAGCATAGTTTTTTTTTTCATTTCTCAAAAGAATTACTGAGAAGGCCTTTGATGTATCAAATATTAAGCCTTTGATGTATCAAATGCTCTATGCCTGGAGGGATTAGTTCTGATTGGAAAATTCTAGTCTCTGCTCTATCTCCCAACCTTTAACGACTGTGTATCCTCTTATTAGGAGGTAAAGGGCAGCTGGCATTCTGTGGCTAGTACAGGTCAAGGTCTCACCCAATGAGTTCCTTTGTCCTCACTCTTTTGGGAGGCTCCCCTGTTTGTGGTGCCATAGTGTGTTTCTATCCATGAGAGATATCCCAGGGGTGGCCGTCCTTGGGGGTGTTAGGCAGAAGGACTCATGATATTGAGGATGTTCTTCACACTATTATGGCTATTATGACTACATCTTTTCATGTGTTCCTTCAGGATGAGTCCCCAACATCTCAAAGATCCACTGGTTGGTTTTCTCCCAGGAAGAAAGGGCATCTAATGGTTCTCCTTTTATATACGTCTTTCTACAGGACTGTTTGACATTGGAGAAGAGAGAAACTGAAGATTTACAAGGACAGTTTTTAATATCATATTTCATGAGATGGGCCACATTTGCAGCTGAATGGTCTCCAAGTGTGTGGAGAACAGTGGACATGGGCTGACCGCAGGGCATGTCCCTGATGCTGAGTCGCTTATCATTTGTATAAAATCCATCTTTGTTCATCTCTAATTTTAAACAACTCTTTAAATATTTTTTTTCTCATGGTCATATCCTCTGGAGAAAAAAAAATAAAAGGTAATTTCATAGGAAAAAGAAGGCATTTGTCAACTTTCCCAGAACTCTGGGGAACGATTATCTGAGATCTGCTGATGGTGAACCTTCGGGCTCTCCTGCTCCGGTGGAACCACCCTGGGTCACAATCCTAGAAACCTCTCAGGGTGCAGAAGGCAACCGTTGGGCCACTTCCTGTGAAGGCTGCTTCCCAGGGACTTTTCAGCAGCTTAGCTGCAGTCAGAAATAGAAGGTCTTTTGCTAGTGGGGTGCAGTAACTCAAATTTTACTCTCCCAGGGCTGTATACTATTTTGAGAGTGAGCAATTAAGCAGTGCTTAGATTAATGGTTCACCAGATAAACCTGGAATGATTCATTAGTTCTCCCTAAATAATCACCCACCCAAAAGAGAGAATTTTTTTTTTCTCCAGGTGAACTTCAGGGTAGGCTTAAAGTACTGTGTCCCAGGAAACAGCCATATTGTCTTGGATTTAAGTACCATTCAGAAATAAGAGTTCTGCACAGTGCTTGACCATCCCTTGTACAGTGGGTAATACCACCCACTTCTCCTGCAGAGGCTCCCATCCTGACTCCCAGGGAAGAATTGGCAGGTGTTAGGTATCCTGGGCTGTCCTTCTACTTCTTATGCTCCCAGAAGGCTGTTCTTCCAAGGAGAGGCTGTGACTCCATAGTGGAAGAACAGTGAGAATTTGTATTTGTTGCTTCTCTGTCTATATATGGACATCTTCCCCACCTGGGCTCTGGGATTTGCCATCAATTGATACACACACAGCATAGAGAGAGAAAAGGTGATATGATGACTCACAGGATTCTCAAGGTCATGTCCTCTTGCCACAGACACAGCCCTACCCTGTGTTGAGTAGCAGGTGAAGCCTGGTATAGGAGGAAGAGGAGAGAAGGAGATACTCATGAGGGTGAGAGATGCATTTATGTTTTGCTTTCAAATTAAAGGACATTTCTCATGGCCCCTGTTCATCCTCTTTCCTCATAAGCTCATTCTCACATTTCCTATGTTATTAAATGTGTATTAGGTTTCTTTTGGTGGGGGGAGAGTACCAGAGATTGAACTCAGGGGCACTCAACCACTGAGCCACATCCCCAGCCTTATTTTGTATTTTATTTAGAGACAGAGTCTCACTGATTTGCTTCTTGCCACACCGTGGCTGAGGCTGGCTTTGAACTCGTGATCCTCCTGCCTCAGCCTCCCAAGCCATTGGCATCACAGGTGTGTGCCATTGTGCTAGCTGTATTAGGTTTCTTCAGAGAAGCAGTATTTTTTTTTCTAATTTTTGACTTCCCGCCTCACACGATTAAACTGCAGCATAGGATTATTTTAAAGGAAGTTACACTATCCCCCACTTTTCACAGTGGGCTTTCTGAGGGGGTGCAGAGCTCCCCACAAGGCCATGAGGTAGATCCACATTTCACAGAGGGGCTACCTTCTCCCAAAGGCTCCAAAGGCCACCAGCTTGGGGCCTTATCTCAAGTGCTGCAAGATGATCTGTGGAATGGAGTTCCTAAAGCCTTTCCCCCAAATGATCAAGAGAATGCAAAACTTGGATTTTGGTATTTTTTTTCCATTTGATTAACAAAAATTTCCTATGCAGATATCTCCAAAGTCTTCTCATTTATAAGAACTATCACAATGAATTTGTTAACTTCTACCTTGGGGAAACACTACACAGTCATGAAAGGAAGCAAGTCATCCTGTGAACTGCTCTTGTGTCAGAATCAACTGGGAAGAGACACCCAATGAGATCCTTTGTCCCCAGGGCCTGAATGCTCTCCCTTTCCACCCCAAATGGAATGCAGAATAGTTCCAGGGACAGTTGCACTCTTTCACATTATATACTTCACTATTTTATGAAGAACTCCAAAACTGGTATCTGAATCCCCCCAGGTTTGATGGATCTGAGTCAGTGGGATACAGGTATTGATTCCTCTTCACTACGTTTTAGTATTCTAGAGTAAAACTCTCTGAGCCTTGATTTCATGATATGTCCCATGAGGATAGTTGTGAAGACTTAAGTTTGAATATTTTTAAAGGGCTCAACAGGACCCTACCAGCCTTTGATCCAAAGTGAATGGCCAATGCATACGCTTGATGATATTAACCTGAGGGGATCTCTATAAAATTCAATTATGGGAAGAGAGGCACAATCAGCTTCGCTGGGGAAGCTCTGAGGAATTAAAATGTGCCCAGAATACAGGAGGTGGTGATCGGATTCGGGGGCTGGTTCCAGAGCATAGGCAGTTTTATTGACTGCCTGTTATATACCTTGAAATCCATTTGTTAAAATTTAAAACCCCAATGAGGAAGCATTAGAAGTTAAGATCTTTAGGAGATGATGGGGTCATTATGATGAAGCTCTCATTCTGAGATTAATGCCCTTATAAAAGGAGACACTAAAGAGATTGCTACTTATTTCTCTACTTTTGACCATACATTTCAGTCAGTTTTCTGTTACTACCATTAAATACCTGTCCTTTTATAGAAAAAGAGATGTCTTCATCTCATAGTTTTGGAGGTCCAAGAGCATGATATTAGCATCTTCCTGGCTCTGGTGCGGGCTTTCTGGCTGCATCACAACATGGCAGATGGCATCATGGTGGGAACACATGTGAGAGGGAGGAACCACATGGTGCAACCAGAAGCAAGAGGCTGGGAGAGTCCAGGCTCACTCCATTCATAAGGATCTATTCTCCCTGGGAACTTACTGACTCCTGCAAGACCCAACCCACTCTTCGAGACTTCATTAATCCATTCATAACAGTAGATCTCCCAATGACCTAATTCACTTTCTACTAGGGCTCCCCCCTTAAAGGTTCCAACTACCTCAACATTCTAAACTGCTTCCAACAGATGAAACTTTGGGGCCACACTCAAACTATATCCAAACCATATCCCCTTGTGTGAATGCAATGAGAAGACAACCAGGAAGAGAGCTATGGAGCAAAATAGGGCTCCTTTAAAAAAAAAAAAGTCTTATGCAACCAAATGATAAACCGTCTGTCTCACAAACTCCCCAGGACCTTACTAAGGACTGTCAGAGGACGAAAACAGGAACTGAGCTGTACTGTGAGATCCCCAGGCTGCATTCTTAAGTCTCTCAAGGGGTTTGAGGCACCTGAGGAGTGAGGTCCTGGGCCACCAGGATGAGCAGTTGCTATGTCAAGGCCACAGAAGCACCTTAATGTGCTCAGTGCTGCAGCTACCTTGGCATTAGCCCTGGTCCTGGGGCTCACAGAGAGAAAACTGCTCCCTAACATGGCTCCTTTAAATACAGAATGGAGCTCCAGTGCCAGAAGCCTTTGGCTGGTTTATAGCCTTCTCTAATTGTAACTCAGAGAACAGACACAATAGGGGAGTTATCCTAACTCACCTTAGTGCAAAGCTTTGATGCTCAGTCCAGACCTCTTATAACACTCAGTCTTGGGTGTTATAAGAAATTCAGAGGCCCAACCTGGGCTTACTCAATCCAGCTGTCAGGTCAGTCCTTAGTGATTCAAGTGAGTAACTGAGACTGGAAACCCCTAGAATCCATTCAAGGTTTTATAGTGACATGTTCCATTCTCAGCATGACAATAAGACATTTCTACACAACACAGAAAGAAGGGAGCTCAGCTGCTTTGGCATAGCTGTCTTCTAAAAATTAAGCCAAGGACTAATCCAACAGGTCAGAACCTAGGCACCTCTTCCTGAGAGATGCACACTGCTCCCCTAAGAAAGTTCCTGGATGTTTAATTTGATGAAATCTTGCAGCAAGTGCATCACTAGTGAAGGTAGTCCTAACCTGGGTTCCAAATGCAAAGCCTACCTCTGGTATAATCACCTAGAACTATCCAAACAGCAATGTAGCAGAATCTCATTGCATTTAATGGGCTTTAATGTTAACTTTAAACACATGGATTTGCTTCAATCACTTCAACACCACCTGCTTGAAGGACAGACTGCCAGATTAGGCTTGTTCATCTAGTTAAATCCATAGTTCCAATCTTCTCAATAGCTGGTGTTTTCCTAGAAATAGTGATGGTGTAGTATGCATGAAAAACTTAGATTTCCCTTTTCTACAATGCAAATTTGCCTAGGAGGTTGGTGGTGGCAAAGTCTTTACTAGATAATTCATAGGCAAATTAACTGTATAGAATTCATTTTCTCCTGAAGTAGATCATAGAGGGAAGTGTCCTTGCTAAGGAACTATAAAATGTGGCACTGAAGTTTAAATGAGATTCCATCCTGGATTTGTAGTGACCAGAGACTTTTTCTGACTTATATTCCATGATCAGTGACCTCTTAAATTTGATCATTTCACCTTGAGGGTAGTTATCATTCCTTCAAATCTAGAGTCATAGTTTATAGTGCTTAGCATCACTTTACCCCCAATTTTAACCTTGAGGGAGTAACAATTCCAAAAGTTTGTCAGTGAAAAAATCTAAAGGTGTATGAATGCATGCACATAGCTTATTTTATGATTTCTAATAAAGTATTTTTCTTATAACACTAATATGTTTCTAAATCTGATGACTGAATTTACAAAGGGTAAATATTTGTCATCCATTGTGTATCAGTCAGGATAGGACAGGATATGCTGTGGTAACAAAATCCCTCAAATCTCAGTAGCTTCAATTGCAAATGTTTGTTTCAATCGCCTCCAAAGTGAACAGCAGAGGGCTCCACTCCTCTTTGTTACTCAAGTTCTTAGGCTTCTGGAGGCACCACCATACTTACAAGTCACTTCATTGTTTGACACAGCAGGAGGATCTCTCGATTTCTGAGTGTCAATCTGAAGTGCTACTCATCACTTCTGCTCTCATTCCACTGGTAATAATGCATGTGGACCCTCATTGCAAGTTAACTTGGGAATCTTATGCACAGAAGAGAAGAACACTGATGTTGGTGAACACCAAGACTCACCTTAGTTAACAAGCACTTTCTGAGCACTAGTTCTGCTATATGTTGTACTAGTTACTGATACCAAAGAAGTCCCTGAACTGGAGGATGATATTCTGTGAGGAGGAATGGGGAGTAGAAAGAAGGAAGGGGTTAGACTTGTAGGTAGATACTACGTTACAACATGCCAAAGGTCATAATGAAGGTATCTCCATAGAACATGAACTTCAGATATGGGAACAAACATGATGGGGAATATTGATGAGGGTTAAGAAGGTAGATGATGTGTTAAGGTCTGTAAACAAGTCAAAATAACACCTGGTATTTTGCCAGAGAAATGTTAGAGTTCATAAACAAGTCTGGATGGTGCCTGGCAAAATGCCAGAGGGAGTGGTTTGAGAAGTAACAAAATTGAGCCATTAAGTGTGGAGATTCTTTATTGGTTGACTGATGTATCTAGTTTATGCTAATTAAGTTGTGCAAAATGTATAAATAGCTCTGTTGTCCTACAATAAACGGCTCCTATTCCTGCTGTATCAACGTGCACAAGTTATTCGTTACCCCCCGGCTATTCTGCTGCAGCCGGACCCCGGCAGATGGTGGCCCGTTACGGGAGCCCCGGACACTCAGGGGTAAGTGACGAAAAAAAGCTGCCCGTCCATAGATAGGACAGGAGCAATCTGCTCGTCCCTAGGCAGATAGGGCGAGAGGACAAATGACCATTTCGAGAAAATGGAGAAGATTGATACAGTATGTTTGTGTCTTGTTTTGTCTAAGTGTATTGTATTGTCTTTATGATGAAAATATGGAAGGGGTGAGAAGTAAATTGATAAGGGAAAGAGGCACCCCAGTGGAACCAAGCGCAATTAGGGCATGTGTTGATAAAAGCCCAGGAACTCTAGTCAGAAAGAAAAAGAAGAAGAAACTTCAAAGGAGGAAGGATTATCAGAAAAAAAGTTGCAGCAAAAGGCTATTAGTAAATACT